TCAAACTTTCACTTTTTAATACTTGGTTGCAAATCCTTTGCAGTCAATTACAACCTGAAGTCTGGAACGCATAGACATCACCAGACGCTGGGTTTCATCCCTGGTGATGCTCTGCCAGGCCTCTACTGCAACTGTCTTCAGTTCCTGCTTGTTCTTGGGGCATTTTCCCTTCAGTTTTGTCTTCAGCAAGTGAAATGCATGCTCAATCGGATTCAGGTCAGGTGATTGACTTGGCCATTGCATAACATTCCACTTCTTTCCCTTAAAAAATTCTTTGGTTGCTTTTGCAGTATGCTTTGGGTCATTGTCCATCTGCACTATGAAGCGGCGTCTAAAGAGTTCTGAAGCATTTGGCTGAATATGAGCAGATAATATTGCCCGAAACACTTCAGAATTCATCCTGCTGCTTTTGTCAGCAGTCACATCATCAATAAATACAAGAGAACCAGTTCCATTGGCAGCCATACATGCCCACGCCATGACACTACCACCACCATGCTTCACTGATGAGGTGGTATGCTTAGGATCATGAGCAGTTCCTTTCCTTCTCCATACTCTTCTCTTCCCATCACTCTGGTACAAGTTGATGTTGGTCTCATCTGTCCATAGGATGTTGTTCCAGAACTGTGAAGGCTTTTTTAGATGTCGTTTGGCAAATTCTAATCTGGCCTTCCTGTTTTTGAGGCTCACCAATGGTTTCCATCTTGTGGTGAACCCTCTGTATTCACTTTGTTAAAGTCTTCTCTTGATTGTTGACTTTGACACACATACACCTACCTCCTGGAGAGTGTTCTTGATCTGGCTAACTGTTGTGAAGGGTGTTTTCTTCACCAGGGAAATAATTCTTTGGTCATCCACCACAGTTGTTTTCCGTGGTCTCCCGGGTCTTTTGGTGTTGCTGAGTTCACCGGTGCATTCCTTCTTTTTAAGAATGTTCCAAACAGTTGTTTTGGCCATGCCTAATGTTTTTGCTATCTCTCTGATGGGTTTGTTTTGTTTTTTTCAGCCTAATGATGGCTTGCTTCACTGATAGTGACAGCTCTTTGGATCTCATCTTGAGAGTTGACAGCAACAGATTCCAAATGAAAATAGCACACTTGAAATGAACTTTGGACCTTTTATCTGCTCATTGTAATTGGGATAATGAGGGAATAACACACACCTGGCCATGGAACAGCTGAGAAGCCAATTGTCCCATTACTTTTGGTCCCTTAACAAGTGGGAGGCACATATGCAAACTGTTGTAATTCCTACACCGTTCACCTGACGTGGATGTAAATACCCTCAAATTATAGCTAACAGTCTGCAGTTAAAGCACATCTTGTTCGTTTCATTTCAAATCCATTGTGGTGGTGTATAGAGCCAAAAATGTTAGAATTGTGTCAATGTCCCAATATTTATGGACCTGACTGTATGTATTACTCATGGTAACTGTGTGAGTCTGTAATTAGGTCGGGTTATTGCAGGTCAAGCTGGATGACGTAACATGCTGGGACTCTTATCATCTCCTATCTTATCACCTGATTCTGGAGGACCATGGAAGCTTCCAGAAGCCAATGGGCAGAAAGGGTAGCGACCTAAATCTGCATGTTTATGGGAGTCTAGCCAATCCCTAATTTGCATGTCCTGGTAGAGTGGTGAGACCAACCCATAAATATGAGAGAGTCAGGCTGGCAAGAGAGTCAGGTGGAAGATGAAGTGCTGAGGAGGCTGTCGGTGGCCTGGCAGGGCCTAGGTCTAGGAGGAGCTGGTCTCAGCCTGGGTCAGGAGGATCCATTCAGCATCACAGTATAAACAGCATCAAGGCCTGGGAACAGTGGGAGCAAGGAGGACAGAGTGAGTACATCAGCAGACTCAGGGATTCACAAGGGGAAAGATTGCCATGTGTAGCAAGCTTTCAAAGGATAGCATTGTGCTTAACCCTTTATCCTTGTACTGGGAGATCTTCAGAGCAGCTAGGTGGGCTGGTAGTGTCTGCAGGCTGTGGAGCTGGGAGCAGTCCTGGGAGAAGAGATATCTCTGCATGTAGTTTGCAACAATCTAAGTTAACTTTCAGAGGGGTTGAGAGTCCCTCACCCATAATGGACTTTTGCTACAGATCCGTAAAGACTGACCGCATTCAAGGAGAAGAACAGTCCAGGATCTGTTTTTGTAAATAGGAAGGAAGTTTTCCCTTTGCATTGATTTAGTCAAGTTGGGCATCCCATAATCCCTCCTATCCAAGTTATTTCCCCTAATAAAATAACAAAAGCCAAGCTCATGGACTGTTCATTGACTGTGGATGCAAGTGTGGAAAATGCGTGTTGCCTGGCTTTAGGGTACCCAAAAACACAGCGGCCCTCAAGAGGGTAGTGCACCATTTGGGGGCTCATCCAGGATATCCTTATAGCAACCTGCTCGGCCGTTGCCCCTATTAACCGGCAACCATCGAGTCAGAGGACTGTTATGCACTGTCAATTGATCACAAGAATCAAGTAGCAACCATGTCGGGCCTGTACAAATGTCTTCCTGCTGCTCAACAGGTGGCTGGAACTGTACTCTTGTTCTGCATGCTGTTACCTGTAGCAACTACAGCGGGCCAACATCTCTATGTGGATTACAAATACTCAGTCTCCCAACAGAGGCTGAGGATGATGTTCTTCTTATATCAAGCCCTGGTAAAGTTAGTGTGAACTGTGTGATCTTGCTTGCCATTGCTTGCAGTAACCAGGACGGTTCTATTTTTTTGTGCATCACAAATGCCCAGCTACCCAACAATGGCTGGGGTCCAGCATCATGTTGAGACAAGTTCTGCAAATGTCAGTGAACTGTTCTTGTGTTCCTGTCAAGACACAGCGCTCCTTAAGCCTGCAACCCAGTCAATGCACTCCTACTCGGTTGAGCAGGGGTTAACACCAGTGTGGGAAAAGTCCTGCAAAACAGTGCAGCTGGTGCCCACAAGTCTGAGTGAGGAGCGTGGCCATGCCTTGAAGTCTGCCCCGTACACTCAGCGTGGAGAGAGAGTGAGAGAGAGAAGCAACATGGCAGGTTACCTGCAGCCTTACATCCAAATTGCAAGTTTTCCGGAAACCGGGATCAGTGTTAGACTTCCAGGTAGTGGATACCAATGTGCGGTTGAAACACCGGGTGGATTCACTCTCTGCACAATCAACGGAGTGGAGAGACTGTGCTTGCTGTGTCCTGATTGCCAGAAACCAACTGCAATGATCGGACTGTAGCTAAGGTTTGGGCACTGTGACGAGATTGCTGCTCAGCGATCTGCCACCGGTCATCTACACCGTGGACTTAAAAGTCAGGACTGTGAGTAGAGAGGAAAGAGGAATCTCGGTTAGCCGGAGGAAGTTGAGAGGTGTGTGGTGTGCAGACCTACAGTTGGTCAGGTATCCGCCACTACTCTTGTGGAAGAGGCCAGATGATAGCAGTAGTCTGGAGCCTGGGGAAAGAAGAGCCACGGCTGGAGGTGAAATTTGACAGTCCAGTTCAAGTTGTCCCATAGGATAGGCCAGTTGTTGAAGTTTGCCCTGTCAGCCTCACCTGAAAGGAGCCAAATCATGATGACTGCATGTTCTCAGGTGAGCCAGTGGGGAGTGACAGTGGGGGGCGAGATTGATTGGGTTCTCCCAGACTGGAGGTTGAGTTTGGGCTCCTATAAATAGAGACTGATTGTTCCTCGAAAAGTGAGTTGGAGGAAGAATGGGACTGGGGGGATGCTCAAAAGACTGACACTCTGCAAACAGAATTACCTGAAGGGCAGGTAGGATATAGGGAGAAGACCATTACCCTTGATTAGGCAGGATGGATAGCTGGAGTGGAGCTAACATTACCCTGTGCAGATGGACAGCATCTAGACCAATCAGATCCCATCCATGCCCAACATCAGATCCAGGCAGGACCATAAGATACTATAGGCATGAAAGAAGCCCGGGACTTGGCCTAAAAACTGTGGATCACCCAATCTCCACAAGCCTGTGTTTTGCCTGGGTGGGGCAAGTGTAGGTAGCTCCCCAGATTCTCCAGGTTCCAGTGGGATGTACAGAGAAGAACCTGGCTTGAGTGGGGATTGGACTTCCCTTATCTCCCAAAGGATGTTATGGATATCATTGAGTCCTCCCACCCCTATTGGTAAGAGGAAATGGTCTGGGATAACTTGCATGTCCCCAGAGCTCAAAGGAGATCTCATATTTCAGATGATTTTGCCCAGTTCCAAGACATCTGGCTGGAGTGGAGCCAAGGAAGGGCCATCTACAAGGACTGGGTAGTTATTGTCAAGGGTGGACAGCCCAGCAGAAGATACTCTTTGGCCAAGTGGGGTCCCAATGAAGAAGTCATCTCCAGACTGCCTAAATCCAGAGATGTACTGGTGAAAATGTTTGGAAAAACCCCTTTTGCTTGAACATTTGGGTCGCATTGCACCACTTACCTTTATCTCTTTTTGTTCTCAGTTTGGCCCATGAAAAAGATGTTTTGGTAAGGCCCAGAACACTGCTTAAAGAGACGGTTGCTATGGATGGGCTTCTCCTTCATTGACTCTTATGTTTTCTGCCTGCAGGATTATAACCCCCTGCTAGCAGAGTGTACAGATAGTTTAGTTAGTGTGTGGATTGTGTTTCCTCCCCGTCTTTCTGCAGGTTAATCATGCATGGTCGTCCTTCTGCTCAAATATGGAACTTTATGATTCTTTCCAGTACCTGCACAGTTTTTGCTGGGAGGGCTTCCCTTTAGGGTAAGATGCTCCATTTGAAATAAAAAAAAGTGCATATTAATAATATGTAAATTGCTTGTACATATGTTTCTGTCCTAGTAACTTTGCTAGCCAGGGAGCTGTAGTTAGGATTTGTGTATGTATATATATATATAATATATATATATATATATATATATATATATATATATATATATATACACACTATATTGCCAAACGTATTGGGCTAGCCCTCCAAATCATTGGATTCATGTGTTTCAATCACCTCCATGGCCACAGGTGTATAAAATCAAGCACTTAAACATGCAGACTGCTTCTACAAACATTTGTAAAAGGTTGGGTCGCTCTCAGGAGCTCTGTGAATGCAAGCGTGGTACCGTGAAAGGTTGCCCCCTGTGCAATAAGTCCATATGTGAAATTTCCTGGCTATTAAATATTCCACAGTCAAATGTTAGTGGAATTATAACAAAGTTGAAGCAACTGGGAAACAACAACAACATAGGTAATTAACGTAAAATGACAGAGCGGGGTCAGCGCATGCTGAAGCGCACAGTGCACGGAAGTCGCCAACTGTCTACAGTCAATAGCTACAGACCTCCAAACTTTGTGTGGCTTTCATATTAGCACAACATCAGTGTGTAGAGAGCTTCATGGAATGGGTTTCCACAACTGAGCAGCTGCATCCAAGCCTTACATCACCAAGTGCAATGCAAAGAGTTGGATGCCGTGGTGTAAAGCAGGCCATACTGGACTCTGGAGCAGTGGAGACGTGTTCTCTGGAGTGACCAATCATACTTCTCTGTCTGGCAATCCAATGGATGTGTCTGGTTTTCATGGTTGCCAGGAGAAAAGTCCTTGCTTGACTGCATTGTGCCAAGTGTAAAGTTTGGTGGAGGAGAGATCATGATGTTGGGTTGTTTTTCAAGGGTTGGGCTTGTCCCCTTAGTTCCAGTGAAGGGAACTCTTAAGGCGTTAGGATACCAAGACCCGGGATGTTTACTAGACTCTTGTTCAGACAGATTTCAGTGAGTTATTCCTAAAAATTACAGGCCTACAATAAAAAAAAAACATATTTCCATGCAAAAAAATGTACCGCTTTGAGCTCAGAAATATGGACATAATCAGACCTACTGACAGCTGAATGTAAAAAGAATTGCTGGCAATTCAGCATTTTGTAAAAAAACAGCATGAAGTCCCCATCCATACCAAGCCCTTCAGGTCTGGATTTTGAGGGGAACCCCCATGCCAACATTTTTTTAAAAAAATGGTGCAGGGGTCCCCCCCAAAATCCATACCAGACCTGTATGCAGGTCAGGAAAGGGGGAGCATGAGCAAGTGCCCCCCCACCCCCTCCTGGACCATACTACATGTTGATGGGATCAAGGGCCTCTTCCCCACAACTGTGGCTAATGGTTGTGAGGGTCTGTGGGCGGGGGGGCTTATCAGAATCTGGAAACCTACTTTAACCTACTTTAACAAGGGGGCCCCCAGACCCCACCCCCTATGCAAATGAGTATGGGGTGCATGGTACTGCTACTCATCCACAAAAAAAAAAAAGTGCAGTGTGAAAAATGACAGTAGACAGTCTTTGACAAGTCCTTTAACCTCCCTAGCAGTCTGATTATGTTCATATTTCTGTGCTCAAAGCGGTACAATTTTTGCATGGAAATATGTTGTTTTTGCATTGTAGGCCTGTAATTCTTAGGAATAACTCACTGAAATCTGTCTGAACAAGAGTCTAGTAAACATCCCGGGTAGGATAAAGTTTGAAACATGAAATCATAAATTATAATTTAATAAATAATCATAAAAAAAAATAATATAATAATAATAATAAATTTAATTCAATAATATAATCAAACCAAAAACACTGAAATTTGAAATAGAGCGCCAAGTTCGCACATCACTGATCAAAGTCACAAAATCGTTTTCAGTGTCTGATGACGAATTTCCCCCACGAATCATTATCACTCAATTCTGCAAGTGGTTCTAATTTACTATCGCTGTTCTCTAGCCGGTCTAAAACCGCTTTTGACCTAAAGGGTCGCTTTTTGGACGCCATGGACGTTTCTCAGTTTCCAGGCAGAAAGAACAGTCAAAATGCAGGCAGGGCGCAGGACAAAGCACTCGGGACAAAATGTATGTGAAATGGTTTGATACAGGAATGTTATACTATGTGATTTTAGTGTATTGAGTGAATGTCACTTTTTGTCATTTTCAAATTTCCTGCCAGTTCCGTCCCCGTACGTCCCGACGCTCGCAGGGGACGGAACCCAGATGACAGATGCCAGCATCCACTGGAGGACATTGCTGGGGACACTGCAGGAGGGACATCGCGGGAGCACAGGACAAGGTAAGTGCAGAAGGGATCCCGGAGCAGCGCTGCAGTGTATTCCCGAGTGTAGCTCGGGGTTACCGCTTGTGGTACTGAAACTTTACCCCGAGCTACACTCGGGAATACCGCCAGGGGGTTACAGAATGTCTTCACTACTAAAATACCGCATAACTTAATAATATAACTCATGCAGTATTTTAATAGTTTTTTTAAAAAAATGCTGTGTGGTATCTTATTGCATACTCGGGTGTGGTAAGATACCAATTAGTGAACTGTCCTGGTTCAAAGTTCGCGGTCAAACTTTAGTTAGGTTTGAATGTTCGACTGCGAACCAAACTGGGAGGTGTTTAGCCCATCACTAGTACTGGAGCTGACCAACCAGAATGGCTCTTATCAATCCCAGAAGTGCTGTAGAAAGAAGAGGGGGATCCCCGGACTGCTGCACCAGCTACGTGGGCACTGACAGCTCAGCACCCACAGGGGTAAGTGCAGCGGGGACCGGGGGTGAGGAGCGTGTACAATGTTAGTTACTGTATCTTTTAATTTTTTTCTGTAAACGGTGATTTAACCCTTTATTGGACCTTCAACGGCCAGTCAATCCAAGTTTTCAGATTTTGGTACATGATAAAAAATTCATTTGCATGGATGAGATCTCTGAGCTGAGTTCCCAGGTCTACACACCTGCTGTGGCAGGGGTGGACTGACGATTTGGAAACTCGGGCACTGCCTGAGGGCCCGGGGTCAGTAAGGGGCCCCATGAGATGCCCCTGGTACCTTTTTCACAGGCTCTTTTGAGTTTGGGCAAGGACACAGGGCCCCATGATCCCCTATTGCCCGAGGGCCCCATGAGTTGTCAGTCCACCCCTGTGCTGTGGTCATTGTAAAGGAACTCACAAAACTCCCAGACAGGAATGGAAGAGAAAATGTCATTTTTGGGTGGGCTAACCCACTGAGCCTGTGTTCACACTGATGCGGTGCAAATTCCACACCACATCAGAATCGCACCCCATTCATGCGCACCGATACGGGTGTGCATGTTAAGTTAACAACACCCCGAAATCGGTCCGCAAAACACGGTGCGATGTGCAGAATCAGATTGCATAGGTGTGAATACCCATGTGATCCGATTCTAGTGTGGATCAAAAAAAGGGTCCTATACCTTTTTGGTGCGGGTGCGGTGCTATTTAAGCCATATAAAATGTATGGCTCCGATCGCAAAAAATCGCATGTGATGTGCACAGGAATGTGGTGCGGTTCCTGTACAAGTCACATGCGATATACTGCACCACATTAGTGTGAACCCAGCCTCAATGTCAGAAATCCCACTTTTTTTTCTTGTCTGTCCTCAGCATTCAGCACCATGGAGAGCTCCCATCAGAACATTTACAAGCTGGAGTCAAAGTAGAATTAAACACTCAGCGTTTTTCTTGTTTAATGCATTGAGCTCAGCAAAACTAATATTCCCCAGGAAACTACTTGTCAATATTCTTACCCCAGCACTTGAAGTTTACAATTTTCACTGCTGCTGGCTCCTGACCTCTCAGTGCTGCTTCCTCAAAACTTCCCGTCGTCAAAAAAAAAAGTTTACTGTGTGCATTTCAGTCTTCATTTGGTCTGTTATCTTGGAGAAGGAAGGGGGGGAGGAGGAGCAGGGGAGTACCTTGCCACCCTAGGCTACAGAGCTGTGTGTTTCTATTGATGCACACAGTGTAGGGAGACACAACTCTAGTCCCTGCATGGAATGGTGGCTCCATAGGATGCTTCAGGAGAAAGGAAAACTAGGGCAGTGATCATGGCACCAGCTTAAACTAAACTGGAACATAGGCAAGGAATAAATGATAAAGAAGGTGCGTGGTCAGAAAGTGATTAAACAATCTGCGGAAAGTGTCTAAAATGACTGAGGGTTTAATTTATTTTATTTATTTTTATATATTGCCATCAATTTACACAGCACTTTACATATATATTGTACATTCACATCAGTCCCTAACCCACAAGGGGTGTACAATCTAAGGTCCCTAACTCACATACATACACATACTAGGGCCAATTTAGACAGGATCCAATTAACCTACCAGCATGTCTTTGGAGTGTGGGAGGAAACTGGAGGACCTGGAGGAAACACACGCAGGCACAGGGAGAACATGCAAACTCCAGGCAGGAGGTGCCGTGGCTGGGATTTGAACCAATGACCCTAGTGCTGCCAGGTGGAAGTGCTAACCATTTAGCCGCTGTGCTGCCCTTAATACAATTTTTAAGTGACACTAAACTCCGGTTCTACTCAAGGATTTAGGGCTCATGTACACGGGGCATTTGGAAAACTGTTCTGACCACTGGAAACTGACTGCTAGAAAACGAAGGTTTAAAAACGTCAGTTTAGCCGCGTTTGCATACAGCGTTTATGTGTATTTAGTTGCATTTATGTGCATTTGAGTTTTGAAGCGTTTAAAAGATAACCTCAGGAGACCCTCCCAAATGCACAGAATTATAGTAAATTATTAACTAATTCGGACATTTTGAGAGAAATAGAGAGAGCAGAAGCAGAGAGAGCAGTATGTGTTGAGATGACCTGTCTTTTCTGGTTGTATTCACTATGGATCCCATCATGAGCATAATGCGGCACGATCTACCATTTTTTCCTGGAACTGACTGCGCTGGTGTACCGGGTCCATTTGAATACATGGAAAGCGCTGTGCATGCATTTTTGATGAAGAAAAAAGGCTCTGGACAGCATCTGGATATGGACCAGCTAAAAAAAAGTGTCTAAACGCAAACTGGCATAAACGTGGTTAACCGCGTTTACAAGCTTTGAAACGCCAGTAAAATCTACTCCTGAACGCAATTTTGGTGCGTTCAAGGAAACGACTGTGAACTCAACTGCCTGTAAACGACTGTAAATGACGATGTGTACATGGACACATAGGAAAACATTAGGGAGAGTTCAGGGGCTGCTGAAAAAAAAAATGCTCAGCAGCTCCTGAACGTCAGTTTAGGAGCTGCAGTGTAAATGAGCCCTTATTTTTACCTCAGAAATGTCCCTTCTATTGCTCCTCCTCCGAATCTCCAAATTCCTTTTTATGCTGCTGTGACCCTGTTAGAGGGTGTCTATGTTCGTTTCTCCATGGTCCCACTGTATGTAGGATTGTATGTAGGATTGTAGTCACCCTCTCTTGCTCACTCAGGTTGAACTATGGACTGTGGGATTTGTAGTGTGCATAGAACAGTGTACACAACCATAACTATTGTGCATGGCTTGTTCCAAACAAACAGAAGTGAGTGGTAAAAGGAGAGGTTCAGGAGCTCAAAGAGGACATTACAAGGAAGCAGAAAATCACAGTAAGAAGCAATTTTATGAAAATTAGATTACAGGGCCATTATGTAGTGAATGTGTATAGATTATTTTTATATCTCCTAGATTGTAAGCTCCAAGGATCAGGGCCCTCAAATCCCTCTTGTATTGCACTGGCGGTTGCCATTTTCAAACGGTTGTAGTTTAAAAATTATAAATCCTACACCAAAGAGCTTTATATTGTGAGAATCACAAGACCCATACCTACATTTTGATGCATAGTATGTCTCTGAAATATTAAAAATGAAGGCACAGTCGCAGTTTAGAAAATGCTCTTTAAATTTGAGGTGGCTAGAGTGGAGTTTCAATGAATGTCAATGAGCGGTGTGAATTGCAAACAAATGGTCATATTGTGAAAACTATCAGGACTATGGCTTAGCCATGGACATTTTTAGTGGCAACAGGGATAGCTGAACATTTTGATACAAGATTTGTGTAGGTGGGCTTGAAAATAAGGAAGTGATGGCAGTTTAGAAATCATGTCCTGATTTTTCAGCTCACACTCTAGCTTTTCTCAGCTCCCACTCTAGTTTTGAACATTCCGCCATTCATTCCTATGGGACCAATTTCACCACAAAAATGTTGATATTTTGTGAACCATTCGGCGAAACGTTCCACAAAGTAACAGCACACCAATCAGGAACAATCCGCACGTTTCGGTATATTACTGTCTATGTAGTGTAAAAACTGTGGGAGGAGTTAGAATGGTAAATTTGGCTATAATAATAAGAATATATATGTGAGATAACAGGAAGTGGTCTGCCATGCAAGAACACTTAATTAATATTTTTGCAGAATAAGGATTTCAGATATTAAAGTGTATCCAATTCCAAAAACACTTGCTGGTAAAGGGAGTATAGGGGGTCAAGGGATGCCCTTTCCAAAGACATTGTTGCCTTTTCCTACAAAAGCAAGATGGCGGTGTTCCCCCTTGGGGAACAGGACACTGGGTTCTAGTCCCATTTAGTCTTGTAGTTTCTCATTTAGATCAGAATGGATGAACTTTTCTAAAATGCTTCAAAGACAAAGTAACTAACTCTAAGGCACTAGCTTTAAATAGTAATTTTACTTCTGATGAGAAAAAAAAATCCCCCTCTGCGATCAATTTACATTGTAGGTAGATTTCTGTTTTTGTTTTCCTCTGAAGAAATAGCTGTTTGTTTGACCATGTCCTTTGCCAACAGATTCTGAATGGGAGAGTCTGGTTCATTATAATCTCCCGGTGCAGTCAGTGTTCTGATGAGAAAATCTGCAGTGTCTGCATCCCTTTAGATATATTTAAAGCGGAGTTCCAGCTGAATACAAAAAGTCAGCAGCTACAAAAACTGTAGCTGCTGACCTTTAAAATACAGCCACTTACCTGTCCCTCGGCCCAGCAGTGTCCTCACTATGGTTGGTTTCACCGGCCGTCTTCTCTCCCTGGTGCCGGCATCTTTAATGTGGGCACCCGGCTGTGACAGCTTGTGGCTTCACAGCCGGGTGCCCACTGCGAATGCACGAGAAGCGCTGCGCTTTGTGAATGGGCCCTGTAGTCTTCTGGGACCTATCACATGACCCAGAAGACTAAGGGACGAGGACAACTTCCACTTCCGATCACCTAGGCGATCGCAGTGGACGTGGGAGCGGGTACCTGTCAAATTTGGGTACCCGCTCCCGAAAGGTGCCAATCCTTAATGGGACAAAGGCTTAAAGCAGAACTTTCCCTTTTGGGTGGAGCTCCGCTTTAATCCTTGGGCAGTATCTCACCAAACATGAAATCTCTGTTGCAGGGGATGCCTAAAGTTTGGCTTG